TTTGACTCAACTAGAGAATGGAGCATACAGATACAAAAGAAATCAGATGATGCCATTGATAAACCCTAGATTGATCAATCCCTTTTTAATTTAACAAAGCTTCAATTCAAACCAAGAATTAAGATTGAAAAACAAAAACCCATTAAAACCCTAACCCATTAAAAGTATATTACATACAGTCATAAACTGAAACAATCCAAAAAAAAAAAAACAACAGTGTCCAAAAACATAAAAGATATCATGAATCCATTACGGAAAGTAGATGATAACCTAAACAAAAATTCCACATGTTCTAAAAATTCTACTGAATATTTGGCCAAATGTCGGTGTGGATCCCTCATTCATGTGGGATCTTATGAGACCCATACTCATGTGAGATATTTAGTCAAATAATACTTTATCCGTTCAAAAATATTAGTCCCTTATTCTATTTTTCATTGTCCCAAAATATTAGTCTCTTTTCAAAAACCAATGATTTAAATAATATGAATTTCTTATTTTGCTCTTCTATTAAATTCATTAACAATATAGAAAGTACAAATATGACAATTGATATTCTCAAAAAAAATATACTATCAAAAGGTAATTATGAAAAACTAATCAGTGTGTTTGGTTTCAGTTTTCTGAATTCAATTTTCTAAAAATTGAGTTTTTTATTTTTCGGATTTTTTTTTATATAGTTTTTAGTGACTATCTTTTTAAAAAAATTTTAAGTAATTTTTTTACTTTTTTAGATGCACCTTACTTAGATATATTTAAACAATAAAATTTTGTGAAAAAATATTTTAAAAAATTAATAAATACACAAAAATACGAAAAATATACAAAATTTTCATTTTTAATATATTTTTTTGGTATTTAGTGTATTTTTTATAATTTTTTTTCACAAATATTATATTTTTTAAGTGTATTTATATTAAGTGTGTCTAAAAATTAAAAAACAAAAATTGCTTTAAATATTAAAAAAATTCATTGAAAATATTAAAATACGGAAAATAAAAAAGTAAAATTTTCTGAAAGCTGTTTTCTGAAAACTAGAACAAAAAAAGTGAATATTTTTAAAATGTAATAATTATACTACCAAAAAAAATTAAATTTCTCGAAAAAAATTATTATTTTAAGACGGAAGGAATAGAATTTTTGTTATGTCTAAGCATAACTCTAACCTAAAAGACAACTGACAAGTAGGCTAATATAAAAAAAAAACTTTATCAAAAATCGTTTTTCACGAAATATGTTAAAGTATGACACTTTTATCCTCTCTCTTTTTCTTTTTGTTTGTTTGTTTATTTATCCTATTTCTCTCTTCTTTTCTTCTCTTGGTCAAGGCTTACAAAAGTTATGACACTTCCATAAAATGTCCTTTTTTTTTCATCTATTCCAATAAAAAAAAAGAATCTCTTTTAGAAAACGATATATATATATATATATATATATAGGTGTTTTCAAGTCAAACTACTAATAAACATTAGAACGGTTTTTAGAATTAAACATATTAAGTATTTGTAGTAATGATAAATATAATAAATGCACTTAATATAATATTATTTTTAGGGAAAGGATTGTCTTTACTTCACTTTGTGAATTTGATAGTATTGTTGCGCTTGTGAGATTGATCACTGGTCCCATTTCGATAGTCCGATCCTTACAAAAAAATCATATTGATTGAATATTGATGATTTCTTAATCAGAATTTTTTTATTAATAGTAAATAAGATTTTAAAAATAAATTGTTAATAAAAATACATCCTGATCAAGAGATTATCAATATTGTAATTAATCTTACGAGTTTAATAGTACCTTCTAGTCAACAAAGTAATCTAGAGACCATCCTTTCCCTTATTTTTATTAAATTATTCTAACAAACGATACCAGGAGGACAACAATTCTTTTGTTTGTTTTAAAGGATAGATATAGGGCTTGTGAGATATTAAACTTTGTCATTTCTTAGAGGACCCACTTTTAGCTGGGGACCTATAACTTCTAATAATAGAGTTGCTCATTGCCATCGATTAGTAAAAATTGCCATTTGTGCTTGTTTGGGGCCAAACTAGGTATTTAACCCCCTGGCCCTTTCCTTGCTTTTATTGCTTCAGACCACCACCGCCACTTTCTCCTTCTCATCTCCCTCTCTCATATGATTCAATGATCCCCCAACAATCATTCAGAGTAATAATTTTGGTGTTCTAATGGAGTACTAATGACATAACAATGAGAGAAAAAAAAAATTAAGACCAAAACATCACATTACAGTGGGTGGAGCCCCCTGTCAACTCATTAGAGTTGGCTTTAGAACTCAAAAATTAGAGCTCCAAAGTATTTTTTTCTATGATTTCTCTCTCTCTCTCTCTGACTTTGACTGACTGACTCTTTCCAACATCGCCCATTGTTGGTGGCTAGTAAGTATCAAAACATCACCCAAGAATGGTATGGTGTATTATCCTATGATGGTGGGTATTACTATGATATTTTCCATTACTATTATGGATGGCAGTGGTATAATGATGGAAAAGATAAGGAAGCAATTGAGAATTTGAAGTATTTGTGATTTCTTCTGAAAATTTGATCCCGAGATTTTGGACGAGCAAGGTTAGATATTATGAAAAATATTTTATAAAAATGATGATAAAAGATTTTTGACCCTTAAATTATATATATAATAAATTATACTGTATAATATAAAGATAGAGGTTTTTTTATAACCATTTTCATGAAACATTTTTCATTTTGGACACATGTGGAGTGTTCAGATCGAGAATTTTCACTTTATTTATGTTGTAACTTATGATTTATTAACCCCTATCTAATATCCAAAATATTTTGAAGAAAACATGATCCCACCTGAATGGTGATTATTAGTTGGAAGGTAGGTTAGGTATAATTAAAGAATTCATGAACTAAAATAACGTTATAACTAACGAAGAAAATTGATCATAATTAAAGAAGAAAATGACATGACTACAAGTATATATGGTACATCTCTTTCAAGGGTTTGTATATGTAAAATTTTTCCGTATCATTATGGCTTATTTTGAAAAGTAAAAAAAAAAAAAAAGCTAACTTATAATTTTTTTAAAAAAATGTGTAAAAGAAATAAAATAAAAACATTATATGATTCAAATAAATTAATAAATCAATAAGATAACTTTTTTTCATGTCAAAATAAGCCAATAAATTTGTCAATATTAATTTGAGCGTTCATTATTTTTATTTATTTTTTGAACAAAAGACCATAAGATAAACGATTCTTTTAAAGGGATATAAGTGTAATAAATTTTTTTTTTTTTTATGAAAATAGTGTGTATTGAGAAGTTTGGTGGTGTGTAAATAGAATTTCACTTCATTATATTTAATTGATTGATTTTGAGCTTTTGGTAGAATCACCCTGTTGGTTCAACCAATGAGGTGTTGTATATTATCTAGATCAAAAAGGAAAATGCTAGAGTTTCCAAATTTTCTATCAAATAAATGACCAAATGTCTCACATGGGTGTGGGGCCCACAAAATTGCGGACCCCACACCCATGTGAGACATTTGGTCATTTGTTTGGTAGAAAATTTGGTGTCCCTAGCATTACCCAGATCAAAAATGCTTTAGAGCTCTAATACAAGAGCTCTAATAGCTCTAATGAGAAGGTGGGACCCACCCTGATGTGATGTTTGTGCCTTGTTTTGTTTGTTTTTTTTTTTTTTTTTTTTTTTTTACACTTTTTTTTTTTTTTTTGCTTTGACACATCACTAGAGCTCAAATTAGAGCTCTAGATTTAGAGCTCTCTAGCATTTCCCCATCTAGATATGTGTAATAAATATGTACTCATCTTTTGAAAGCCCATTTTAGGTGTTTATTTTGGTGATTTGTATAGTTTAAATTTTAGTATTTTTTACTATTTATGTAAAAAATTAAATTAATCGAATATTAGTAATCTCATATTTGGATCATATTAATCTTAAAAAAATAAACAGTCTATTCTCGATATTATACATCTTGTTAATTTTTTTTAGAAAAATAAATATAATTCAAATATATTGTTATCAATATCCAATTAATCTAATTTTTTTACATAAATAATCTATTTTCTGTTTAGTTTAAAATTTTCAAAAACAACTTTTTTAAATTTTCAATCCATTTAAAAAAAAAATAGTAACTTTTTAAATATTTTAATTATTTAAAATCTAAATACACTCAAAAAAATAATAAACCAAACAAAATAACTAAAATTTAAATGATTGAAATCACCAACACAAAATCAAAATGTGCTTTCAAAAGAGTAAACTGGGCTCTTTCAGTTGAACCGGAGGTAAGCCTCCTAAGAATTGAACCTCACTAGGGCCGACTCCTATTCCTATTCCTATTCCTATTCCTATTCTGATTAGGTAGATTCTTGTTCAAAGATTTTGTTGCTTTTGGTGGTGTATGCACTGCATGGCGAAGTTGACAGCCAAGGAGGTGGGAAGGACATGGGTATTTACAACTTGGAAGATGAAAGCAAGGAACCACTAAACTCCAAAGGAGAGTCCCTTAGTCATACTTGCCTTCTTTCTAATGTGTTTGTTTCTTTGTTACTCATAGGCCATGTTTGTTTGGGTGGACATGAGCTTGGGATTGGACTAATAGTCCAATAAAATTATTAATCTGATGTTTGGTTAAACAATTGAAGTACGGACTAATTATTTTAAACTTGACTATTAGTTAAGATAGGATACATAATCCAACGAAACAATTTTTATTATCATAGTTTCTTTAACTTGTTTGCTTGCAATTCAGTTCTATTTTTATTTTACTACTGTGGACTTGATTTATGATTGTACAATGTTACATAGCATGAACCTCTGAAGTCTTTCCTAAACCATTGCATTTGTTGTTAGATCCTATGAACAGATCCTGTTTGTGGTATTGGATTTCTATTGTTCCCTCTTGAATTCATGAGAGAAGTGTAGGCTCTTAGCAGCCTCCTCTGAGAGACTGACTTAATTCTAACTCTGATGGTTGCTCTTATGCAGGGACAAAACCAGATTTTCTTTCTTGGGTATACAATATGGGGGATTGGGGCAAGGTTGGTGGATGCAAAAAGACTATGATCTTGATCTACGTTCTTGTGGAATCTCAAAACAAACAAAGTAGGATATGAAAAGTCTAGTTCAAATACTACAGAGTCATTCCTCTGTTGTGCTGGGGTGAGCTTCATCACATTGTGTTTTATGAAGTTCCTTTTGTTGAGATTTTTAACCTATTTTGTTTCTTGTGAGTGGTTAGTTTGTTTGTTTGTTTGTTTTAATCGGCAAAGAAAGTAACATTTTATTAATTCTAATAAAACATTTAAAAGAGGAATTACATAAAAATCATGACATTTTCAATATTAGGAGCTCCATTAGATGGAGCCTGGATGTCATACACAAGGCAGTCTTATCTACATCCCCTTCTCTGACTCCAAACTCAATTCTCATGGTTATTTTGGGAGCTAGCTGCCAAGCACCTTGGTTTTTGGAGGCCCAAGAAAGGAAAACGATAGAACATAGCAGAGTTAAAAAGGTCCAATCCGCAATAGTAACCACACCACACCACACCCCGTCCAATCCCAAAAGTGACGACCAAAAATTGGTAGAAACATGATAACATGAACAAGAAGTAGCCAATGTAGATCAATGCTCCAACAACTTTTCATAAACAGATAGCTCCGGAGTGCAAAAATATGAACCTCTCCCAGCAGAGCAGTATAAAAGGAGCTACAACCATATCACAAATAGTCCACTATAGGGTGTAATCGAAATACAAAATCAGTGACATTGATCGATTTGCATACATCCTTCCCTTTTGCCTAAAGTAAAATTCTGAATTTGATATTTTCCACTTGTTCCTGGCAGTCCATATGCTCCACATGATCGCAAAGGGGATGATTTCCCAAACAACCGTTTTCATTAATTTTTCCATCCTCTCCATTAATCACTCAGTGATTTAATTGAGAGAGGAGCTACCCATGACAAACCCCACCATCTTAGGATAGATGCCCCAACTTTCTAAACAGCATGGCAATCAATTAGGAGATGGTCTGATGTTTCAGGCTTATCATTACAGAAAAGACATAACCCAGAATTCGAAGCTACAGAGACACCAATCCTTAGGAGCCATTATGAGGTTTTAACTCTTCAAAGCCAAGCTAGTCATCCAAAACATCTGACTTTAAAGAGGGAAACACTTGACCACCATTCAATTCAGCTAGCGAATAGAGGGAGCGAACTGAAAATTTTCCTGAGGGTTCCGCCATCCAGTGCGTCAAGTCCTTTTTTTTTTTATTATCGGTTGAGAGAAGTTGGATAGAAGGCTATAAAAGACACCATCTTTTTCTTTTTTGCTCGTTCAAAGACACCATTTTCGAGGTTGTCTAAAGTTAACAATACAATAGCAATTTAATTGAAAATGGCTCAGAAGAAGATGTTAGGTTGAACTAGTGTGTATTTGTCTTTGTAAAGTAATTAGATATATATAATTTGTATAGCATTATTCAACTATTAAGCTTAAGATTGACTGTAGGATGGAGATAGAACATGACACAAAATTCAACAGCCAAACAGGAGGAATGATACCTTTCCTTCTTCATCAGAGAGAGAGAGAGAGAGAAGAGTCCCAAGATTGTCTCTATTTGCCTATTGATGCGTCTTTCTTGGCAGAGTGTTATTTGTGATCATTCATTTTCCTAGTGCATTGATTTAGGTGATTTTTATTCAAGGCATACAACTGTACTGTGGCTGCAGCCCTTGGATAAGTTGATTGGGCTTTAGTGGCTGTGGCTGTGGCTGCAGCTAGTGTTGCAGCTGTGTTTTCTGCTTGTGCTTTAGCTGTGATTGTTGTGTTTTCATGACACTTGGTCACACACTTGGATGCATAGACTTGACACTCTTATGAGTTTTGTTAATATAAATTTTATTGGTGGCATTGATTAACAATTGCAGACATAAAGCTCAGAGCCCAATCTAGTGCTATAGATGAGGAGTTCTTTACACAGGTTCAAGGACCTGATCGACCTGGTCATGTTCGAACATATGGATTGGGTTCTCCTTCGACAAATGTCTCTGGAGGTGGATATAAGGTAGTCACAAGAGCAGGCTCATCTCATCCAGACGCAAGTCCAAGAGCAACTTAACCAACATAAAGTACAAACGGAGATGCAAGTGAAGGAGATGATGGATGCTATGTTTAGTCAAATGCAAAGCACAATTTAAGCTCAATAAGCACGAATAGAGCAGTTAGAGTCTCAACAGGCCATGGGTGGGCCTGTTGCACCAGCTATTACACATGTGTATTTACAACAACAATCTCATGCATACACCTCATCGTTTAATTGCCATCATTCATCCGAGGAAGTGAGTAAATAGTTAATTATGAAATTTTCAATATGGCATTTTATTCATGTTATTTGTTCTTGTCAAATGCACATTCAAATATCAAAGGAGGAAGAAGAAGAAAAAGAAGAAGTAGATAGGACAAACTCAATGTCAGAGGGACTCTTTTTTGTAGTAACTTTGCTTATCTGTCTACTTGTCTATTTATTTTCAGATATTCATACTAAAATCTTCTGTATAATTGCATAAGGCTTAGTTGCTAGAATTATGGTTTAAAAGTAGCATTGGTACTGATCATAGAGTTCTTACCGTTTGCTAGTTTAAAAGTAGTAACTCAAGAACATTACTTCATGTTTCATTTTTATCTATTATCAATTTAGTTCAATAATATATTTCCCTTCTTGATTTGGACACCTATAAGCTATATGTATATTAGTCACATAGATAGGGTGAGTAATCTTAACTTGTAGATGAAGGCCTCTAGATGTCCAAAAATATAAATTCTCCAAAGGCTTGTTTTTGCATAGAGTCATTTTTTTAGAGTAACTATCTACGTAGTTGGTTAATAATGCTCATCATGAATTCTCTTGCTGGAACCTTATTTAATTTCTAGTGTTCATGTAACATAACCCATCTCAATTATATGCAATATCAATAGGCTAATCACGGTTATGATGCTCCGTAGCTTAAAATAAAGGTTAAATTCATAAGCAACAAGTAGAAAGGTGAATATGTGAGCTGATCACATCAGACAAGCATAGTTAACCTAGAACTTCATATCCTAAAGTAATGACGAGGAATAATTGGAAACTTTGATCATAAATATAAAGATTGGAGATTAAAAGCTTACTTTCAACCTAGGACATATAGGAACAATGAAATTTGTGGATGCTGCACAATTTTTTAAGTTTGTAAACCAGGTAACTTCACAATTTTTTAAGGATCCAAATGCTAGGGTTTGGACTGTTCATTGTTGAAAGTTGAATCTTTATTGAATTGGGTTAGTAGAATTAGTAATTTTTTCATATCAGAGAGGATAGGTTTTTTTTTTGGTGACTTAAAATTTTATTCCACACAAAACACAAAGAAAACAAGAAACAAGGACCTACCTCTGCACACTAGAAACAAAAATACACAGATCAACACCAAAACAAAACAACAAAACAAAAGAAAGCTAGAAAATCTATTTGTCAGGTCTGTAGAATGGAACAAGGCAGCCTGTCCATATAGATTTGCCAATTTTGCAAAGAATTCTTTACTCTCTTGAAAGAACAAACTCTAGCTCTAACTTCCTTAACTATTCCAGCCACTATCACTTCCTTGTGACTAACAAGTAGAGCAAAATTCTCATATTCCTCTCCAACCATACATGATATAAAGTGAAAGCCAAGGAAAGTTTGAACATAGTATTTCCCAGTAAAAGGACAAGAGCAGAACAAATGCTCATGAGATTCATTTACAGATCGACACAAACTGCACGCAGGATCCACCTCCATTCCCCAATGCAATAATCTATCATTGGTAGCTAATTTTTGTAAGCAAATCAGCCAATGCACAAAAGCCTATTTAGACACATTTCCTTTAAACCAAACAATAGAACACCATGGGACACTACTGTAAATGGCCTCAGAGCTTCCCAAGCAGATTTAGAGGAGTAGCTACCATTCTTTTTGAAGGTAACCAAACAGCTTCATCAGATCTATGCAGATTAGGAATAAGGGTATGAGGGGTTAAAGCAATAACTTGCTGAATTACTCTATTTCTTAACCTAGGCCAATGCCAGCATTGCCAACTATAATACTTGAAACATTCACATAAAGAGCTCTGCCAATATTCTGCACAATTCTACTTCCAAAATGTTAATAAAGAGGCCCCACTGGCTGCCAGTTATCAAGCCATAAGAAGGTGGATATGCCATCCCCTATTCTGTAATGAATAAGAGGTTGCCCAATCTCTCTAAGCTTGAATATCTTCCTTATAGTCCATGAGGAATCATTTGGACATCAATAAACCAAAAGCATTGATCCTTTAAAATATAGGTATGTATACATTCAGCCCAAAGTGAATCAGCCTTCATACTTATAGTCCAAAGGTGTTTAATCATATTGACTTTATTCTAAATTTTCAGTGATCTAAAAGCTAACCCCCCCTCCTTGTTTAGGAACACAAATGCTCTCCCACTTAACTTTGGCCCCTGTTTGCTTAAGCTCAGAACCAGACCATCGAAAGGCTCTAATCAAATTTTCCAGTACCTTTAGAATTCTTTGAGGTAAAATAAAAAGGGAACTCCAATAGATCTATACACTAAACAATACTACTTGAATAAGTTGCATGCTTCCCCCATACGAAGAGCTCATTTGCCCACTACTGATTCCTAGAGCGTATTTTGTCCTTCAGTTAAAGACAATCCTCATACCTCAATCTTATAGAAATAAGAAGCACACCCAAGTACTTGACAGGTAATAGATCTTCAGGAATTAGAAGAACAGTCAGTAAATCAGCTTTTAAAACAGAAGAAATCCCAACAAAGAAGACTGTAGATTAGGTTCAAGTCCAGACCATAAATGGAACTGATGTAAAGTGTCATTTATAATTCTGAATGACTGAATATCAACCCCCACATAGAACAAAAAGATTATGCGCAAAGGCTAAGTGACTGATACCCAAAGATTGGCACTTAGGGTGGAAAGTAAACTTGTCACGACCCCAAACCGCCCCTAGTAGTTTGGTGCCGTGATGGCCAGTAACCTGAGATTTACCGAAGGCCAACTTACAAAATTCACACACAATCAGAGTACGATTATATGGGGCTAACAAGTACGGAAGCGATTTATACAAACAAATTAGTCCATAAGAGTTGTGCATAAGTCAAATGAGATAGCAACCATTTCCATATGGGTTATAACTTAAATACAAACAAAGCAAAGTACAAATTACATTTTACATATTAGCAAAGGGCTCCACAAGTCGACATAATCAAATTGTACGAATTACAGGTCTAAGAACATAGTCTGCCAGATTGCCGACAACTTCTTTGCCGACATAACAATCATGCAAAATGCACATCTTGATCAGAAGGCTTCTCAAGCCGACGTATGCAACATACAAGTATTACAAATCGAGAAGCATAATTTTCAAGACTGCCGACGTAATTACAGGTTAGGCCGGCATAATCAAAATCCAAAATAAGCTCCAAATTCACATCTAGGCGTCGCCGCCTTCTTGCTCATCACCTACATATATATAGAGAGGGTGAGCTTGGATACTCAGTGAATGGTATAAATAATAAAGGGGTTTACATGAATAATAGCCGAAGTCCTTTCAAAACATTACAAGACAAAACTCTATATATATACAAGGAATGGACCTCGCCCATCCAACAGATCTTCTAAGTTTCAAGGGATACTTACTAACATCACATATTACAAATGATGACATTTCAGCAAACATATCCACGTAGTAACCGTCCGTGGCAAAACAAGACAAAGCAAGATAGGTATCTCAAGCAAGGGTGCTACGAAACTTTAGAGTCCTCTAGCACAAGGGACTTTCAAGACAAGATGTGCTGCGAAAGTTTAGAGTCCTCTAGCACGAGGGACCTATGTTACAAAGGCCCGTAGCCCTTTAACACCAGAGTACAAATCAAGAGTGCTGCGAAAGTTTAGAGTCCTCCAGCACGAGGGACTTTCAAAACAAGATGTACTGCGAAAGTTTAGAGTCCTCTAGCACAAGGGACTTTCAAACGAGATGTGCTGCGAAAGTTTAGAGTCCTCCAGCACAAGGGACTTCCCGAGGAGGTCATTCAAACAAGTCTGATACGAGATACGAAACTAAGGACAATCATTCATGCTCAACAAACATCTTTCAAGACAAGCAAAGCAAAGTTCTTCAAAACATTGATAACATAACTTTATCAGAAATACCACTCACCTAGTTCTTCAAATGTCAGGGTCAAGGCAAGTCCAAGTCCTACAACACATGGTAAAGTCTATTGAATGCACTATCTCAAAACAAGTCTAGCTTACATGCAAATGACCTCGGTATTCTTCAAAAACTAAGTCAATCAAGTTGCAACACAGTTTCTTATCCTTGGAAAAACACGCTGGACAACTACCAGGTCTAGGCCGAGGTCCCACACCTCCTTGCCGAGGTGTAGCCTCGACGGCCACATTCAAAAGTGGAGTCGAGAAAAGTCTGGGTTTCCCTCTTGATAAACATGAAGAACATGAGCATGAAAAACTTGAAGAACATGAACATGAGGAAGATGAATGCAAGGATCAAAACTTGTTATACAAAAGCTGAGATTTCATGCTATAACTACAAAAACGTGGACCTGGGTACCCACACTCAATGATCTTATCAAAACAAACACAAACGCATGAGCTTTGATGCAAACATCTGGATCGAACGAGGCTTTTCTTCAAAAACACATGAAAATCGTTTTCTCTTTCTAAAACCAACTTTAAATCGATGAATGGTGTGCAAAACAGGTTTGATCGTGCAATGCAGCGAGATGATGAAGAAGAACAACAAGAATAAGTCAAGGTTCTAACCTCAAAACTCGAATCTAATGGCTCAAGCTCTAACGATCAAGCTTGGAAGTCACCTTCTCTAGCTCAAACTTCTCCTCCTTCTAACTAGAGCTTCTCTCTCTAAAAAGGCAAGATTGATACAAAAAAAAAATGAAATGCCTCACACGACAAACACTGACTTAATCCCTCTGTCGGGACACGTGGCATTGGCTGATTCGCTCAACTCAAAAAGGTGACTGACTTGACAAGACAAGACCAAGACAAAGCGTACTCAGCAAGGTAGGCGGTACGAACACATCGGCAAGTAACGACATCGGCTAACAACAAGACTCCGGTAATCAAAGGGCAAGGACAACGGCTTGGAAGGACAACACTTGACTAAACTGTGCCACACCCTGGCCTAGGTGCGCCACACCTCGGTCTAGGTCATACCATTCCAGGAACAAAATCACTCATGCAAGGATCAAGGATCTAGAACGCATAGATATAAACATCTCGGCCTAGATGGTGCACATCTCGGCCTAGGCAACGCGCACCTTGGCCTAGATGGTGACATCTCGGCCAATATGCCAGGGTGAAGATGGGGGTCAACCAACAGGGTTCTAAGATAGTTCTAAGTGACAAAGGTTTCAAAGGTGCCTAGGCTTAAGACAACCTCGGCAACACACCAGGCAAGAACAAAGTATGCAAGCAAATCATTCAAGAAAAACAAGACAAGATTTGCAAATGTGAATGTTAACACAAGATCGCCCATAAATGT